TACACTGGTCACGAAGACGATCGCTATGAGTGAGTAATTAATTTATTAAATACTTTGTTTTTGTAGTTTTTATAACACAAGAGTTGTAAACAATGGTGAGTTCATTGGATTTAATTTCTAATGGAAGCAATTCCGTCTTTCGTCTGATGAGTGTTTGCCGGAGGCCTAATTTAAGTCCCTTTCTCTTTACCACCCTTTTCTTATAAGGAGAGGATGGGATGAGGAAGTGGATTTGACAGAGGAGGAGATGCATAGGAAGGGGAAATATCCTCTTAATGTGCGTCTCCTCCTCCGTCAGATAAGGGTAGGCAACGCATCTGCAATTGCGGATGGTTATGGGCAGCGGTTGCTTCGTCATTTTGGCGGATTCAGGTGGCCGCTTGCTCGTTTGCCACCTTATGTTATAAAAAAAGAACCTTTAACTTTGACTTAGCTGAGCGCGTAACTTTGACTAAACTATCGCACAACTGTTGTGCGATTGTCGATTGTTTCGCAGCCCATTCAACTGTTTAGTTACACAACTAATCGAGTAGTGTGCACTCCATATAAGTTTATAGGATTCAAAGCTAGACTAAACAGTTGTGCGATAGTTCATTCAAAGATGTCACTCTTAATGTCCGATAACAATTATTTAAAAAACGTACTAAGTTAGCGTTAGTATTATAGGTCATATATAGAAGTTAGTCTAGTCTAGAGAGCTGTGACGTAGCTTGTTGGCACCCGTGTAGCTCTTATGATGTGCTTCGTCGCCAAATCTCTTGCCGCATTGATTATTACGCTAAAATCGAAAAAAAGTGTATCAAAAGTGGACTGAAGTCGCAAAATGCCTTGTTTTATATCTATTTTGCTTACTAAAGGGCTTATTTAAGTTATTTAGTTATAAAATATTAATTTTAGTAATAGAAGTCAATACATACCCACTCGTTGGTTTTACATTTTTGTCTAAAAGGAGTCCTATTTCGTAATGTCATAAAATATACAATTTTTATGTTGCCATAGAAAAAATAATAAAATGCATTAATGTATGAAAAAATTCTTATCATACTTCATACTAATATTATAAATGCGAATGTTTAGATGGATAGATGGATGGATGGATGTTTGTTAGAGTTTGTAGCCTAAACGGCATTCTATGAAATTTGGCATAGACGTAAAGGAAGGCCTGGAAGAACACATAGGCTACTCAGTTTTGTTTTTTTTAATTCCACGCGGACGGAGTCGCGAAAAGCTAGTTATTTATAATTCATACTCCATGTTCATCATATGACATTTAAAATATTTTTATTTAGTAAACTAACATTCTTTTGTTTAATTAAAAATAACAATTTACATAATAACAATGAAGGTTACAGTCAGTATTGAAAATAAACGCTAAGAATAACTTTTTGAGTTTGATTTAATTGTTTAAATGAAACCCAAAATGTTATTATTTCCAAGTTATTTCTATTGTATTTCTTTACTAATAAATATCATAAAGACAGAGACATTTGTGTTTTTGTACGTATTAAAATAACTCAAAAACTACTGAGCCGATTTCAAAAATTCTTTCGCCATTAAAAAGCTACGTTATCTCACTATTATAAATGCAAAAGTTTAGATAGATGAATGGATGTTTGTTAGAGTTTGTAGCCTTAGCGGCTAAATGGATCACGATGAATTTTGGCATAGACTTAGATGATAGTCTGGAAGAATACATGCCGACGGAGTCGCGGGCGAAAGCTAGTCAGTGAATAACATAGGCTACATTTTTTTTTACTACCTGTTCCCTGCGGCTTCATTTGCATGAAATTATGAAAACTTTTTTTTTGTTTACATTTGTCAAATTATCAATAGCAAATGTCAAAATGATATGACATGACATAACAAACCTTAGCAATCTTTCTTTTTTGACTTATGGTCTCTTTCCCACATTAGGGTTTTTATCCAAAATATTTACCCCCTAAGTTTAATGGCGTGAAAATATATAGCTTTAAGCATTTATAAGTGTAGGGATTTTTGTTAAAAACAGAATTATTCAAAAATAAGCTGTAATTGCTGACATCTTAGGCAACAAAGAAGTGTGTGTTTACGCTTTATTATATAAGTATAGATAAATTCACGGGGGCGAAGTCGTAAATAACAGCTAGTATCAACTATAAAGCGTTGTTAAACAAACGTATGTTAGTAATGGAAAATCGATAGAAAAGCCTTAGTTAGTTTTACTTATTCATTCGTAAATCAGTCGGCCTCAGACATCGTTGTATCAAATATTAACGGGCTTCCTCGTTGATTGATTAGGGGCTTTGAATATTATGGTAGTTGTTTACTTATTTCTAACTCTTACATGTATTAAAAGTAAGTAAGTATTTAGGATAACAAGTTTATTTTCTATCATCTCTCGCTTATGCACCAGGTTTTCGTCCTCCAAATAACTAACATCCGACATCTCAGTCACTCCATCCTTGATCATGTCACCTTCCAGGTAATCCATCTCTTTCTAAGTCCACCTCAGACTCTCGACACTCACGACAGACCTCTCTTTCAGACTTCTTTTAATATTAATACTCAAATATTCTATTCCCCTTTTTTAGTAATGTACGCTATACTTGATTCATAGTTAGGTCTACGCATCGCTGGGCGCGGTTATGTAGGACATTAGGGCATCATGTTTGATGTGCAGGCGACCGTGTCATACGTCGCCTTACCCAATGCGTTTACATCACTGTAGACCCAACTACTATCGTTTAACTGCAAAATCTATAGTTATAAAGAGGAATGTTTTGTATTTTTGTATAAATTGAAATAACTCAAAAACTATTAGGCCGATTTCAAAAGGTCTTGCACCATTAGAAAGCTATGTAAGTAACATGGGTATATATTTAAATTTTGACGTGAGCAAAGACGCGAGCAACAGCTAGTACATATTAATATTAAATTAAGTTTAATGAGACATTATTATAAAGCAATTAAAATGATTATAGGTTACGAAATAAGTATATTAAAGGAAGTTTAAGAGAGCCCCAATGGTAAAGAAATTAAGTAGTAAAAAGCATGGTATGGACATGTTATGAGGAGGGAATCGCATGTTACAAGGACTTTAGTTATGAGTGTGGTACACCGGTAGAGGTAGACCTAGAAAGAGATGGATGGATTGCGTGAAAGGTGACATGATCCAAAAGGGAGTGGTGACTGAGATGACGGATGATAGTTATTTGGAAGACGAAAAACTTTTTTGTCGATATTACAGAAGGATAAGAGAAGAAGAAGAATGATTGATAGATAAAGCTGATTCTAGCTTAGCACATAATTTTGATAATAGATTGATAGCTGAATTTGCTTTGCAGATTTTCTAATGGAACACTTCCCTTTAAAAAGCAACTAATGTCGGGTTTAATTAAACATTTACTTAAAACTTTTAAAATATCGATATATTTTTGCAATCACTATAACTGCGATCACGCGTACACAACAATTATACAATCATCAGGTTTTGCTGATGAATTGTTTATAGAGAAGTTATACGATTACGTAACTGTTTTAATAAAACTAGCTGTTGCTCGCGAATTCGCCCTCGTGTTATTAAAATAGAGCCTTTGTTACTCACAGATAAATTACCTTTCTAATGGTGAATGATTTTTTAAAATCGGCCTAGTAATTTTTACGTCAATCGAATACAAAAATACAAATCTTTCCTCTTTATAATGTTAGTATAGACAATATTAAAATAATATGCATGAAATATGATATATTTTATATTATATAGCGATTAATATTCACCTAAAACATTTTTTCGTAATTTTAAGGTTAGAATATTTTATACATTCTGTTCTTCGGCGGCCATCTTTAAATTTTGCCTTTGCAATTGTCTCACGTAACTTCACAATAAGCTAGTTTAGGAAATCGTAACAATTTTTCACATATCTAACAATGGTTTGACCAAAATAAAAGAAAGTCTTATTTGAGGTGTAAATTAAATTAATCCATTGTTATATTCTCGCAATATTGAATGACGAAACTTTTGCAAAGAAATTCCTTCGTCGGGGTCATTGACCTTTTGACGTTTACATTATGACGGTTTTTGTAAACTCGTTCCTTTTTACGCATTTTTTTGCGTAATTCAGTTAACTAGTTTACTCTAAATAAAAATCATTATATTGCTCGATAAAAACAATTACAGCCTTCCATCTCAAATAGTAGTCATTGCGAGATTAAATAAAAAGTAATGTTTTACAAATTAAATTAATTGTAAAAGACTGTAGAAGGCGATATCATGTTAAGTAATTCCAACTAAAATAACCGAATTTATTATTTAAAAAAAACGCTTTTAATGCCATGACGCTGTAATATTTTAATTTTCACTGCGTTACTTTTCAATATTCGAATAACGACTTTCTCCAGCAATTATATGAAACTGAAATATCACGGTGATCGTATTAAAAATAATTTGCCAGCAAAATAAATAATTATAATTTAGAAATAACAAACTTGTTCGTTTTTTAAATTCTTAAAAATTATTCTTGCAATTTTGTTTATTCATTTTTTAGAGATGTCGCTTACTAATTATACGCTTTGATATCACAAAAATCGATCAAAAAAAAACAAAAGTGAGTAGCCTATGTGTTCTTCCGGACTAACCTCTAAATCTATACCAAATTTCATCGAGTTCAGCCGTTTATGGTACAAACTCCACGCATCCATCAATCTAAACTCTCACATTTTTTATATTAGTATGATAATTATATTAGTCATAAAAACGCTAAGTTACTGAAAATAAATACGATATAGCCGAGTAAAAACTAACTAAGTGCATATAATAGAATTTTTTTGAAGTAAGCATCTTTAAAAAGCAAATCTAAACATTTATTTTTCACGAATTTATTTTAATAAAAGGCATCAAGATTAAAAAATGGCGAATGCATCCTACGTAATTTGCAGTCGATGAGATCCTACGAGGTTCCCTCCCCTGTATAGCCTCCCCCCTTTAATGCCCTCCCTCTAACCGAGTCAGTCTGCGTTCGGCCGCGGCATAGATCGTGTGATTCGTTAACGGACGCCGCGTACATTTGTCCGGTTTAAATATCAAGGCATTTTAATTGCAATATTTGTTAGAAACTACGATTATGCACTCAATTTGTAAATCACACAGTTATTTATTTATTGTGGGATCTCTGGATTTTTCTAAGGTAAAAGAAAAACGTTCGATAAATGCATTTTTAGATGAATCGATTTTATTTACAACGGTTTTGTTTTGAAATAAATTGCGTAGTTTTGATTGCGTTTGAAATCGGATAATATTCAGTTATTACTGTTAATTAACAAATTATATTAATCGTTGAAGTGTTAATTAAATACTTAAATAAGTGTACATTTTGTTGATTGGTAATTATATTTTTATTTATTTAATCTGAATGAATTGTGTTACTTTTTATTCACCGACTTCCCAAAAGAAGGAGGTACTCAATTCGTCTGTATGTTTTTGATTTGACTAATTTTAGTCATCTAGATTGTCTAATATTCAATGTATACAGTATTTGTTTATTTGTAACAGTTAATTTTATAAATAGGTTAATCTGATCTGTACGGATTACAATAGCTTTATCTTTCTATTGCAGAATTTAACGTCAGTTTATTGACTTATGTAACATTGTGCTAACAATGTTTCTAAATGAAAGAAAAACATCAAAACCCCTATCTTTTTATAAACAGAGATAGTGTAATTAAAAAAAATCAATACAAACCACGGTATTTTGAAGACTATTCAGTTATCAGTTATAAATAAAAAACGAAATAAAGATATCTATCGTTTCTTTTTTAAATTCATTTCAAACGAAAATTGTATACCAATGATTATATGCGTTTTATGAAAATATTGAATGGTAAAAATAAAACTGACCTTACTTTATGTTAATGCGTATTATAAAAACCTTCACAGTTGTTTATATGCAATTGTTAATGTAATTATAAACAAATTCTAGTATTAACGATAATTTCAAGTAGCACATTTGCACACTTCGTTCGCGCGGTTTGTTAAAATTTCTACTAATAAATATAAAATATCACAAAGAGAAATAAGCTTCTTAACAACATAATAATTTTGGAAGTAGTTTTTGAGTGTATTCGTTACATAAAAATCTGCCAATACAATATTATAAATGCGAAAGTTTAGATGGAGGTTTGTTAGAGTTTGTAGCCTAAACTACTAAACGGATGTCGATAAAATTTGGCATTGTAGAGCAGTCTAGAAGAACACATAGGCTACTTTATTTTGTTTGTTTTTTTTTTTAATAACACGACTTTATCGCCGGCCAAAGCTAGTTTATCAAGTACAGAGTATAAAATCGATTAACAAAACACAACATTCTAATTTACAATAGTGTTAAGTTGACATTAAAGCAAAATAAAATTACATTAACTTGCGTAGATAACAAATGGTAGATATTTTATAACATTATTATTTTCAATACGCTCTATTTATTAAAAAAATATGGTTTACATTATATCAAAATTAATTAACAATGAAACGTTCATCTTTGTTTGTAATAAATATTACAATATTATACAATAATATTATCTGTTTAAAAATCTAGTGAATCATCTGTACTATTATAAAGAGGAAAACTTTGTTTGTTTGAATGTAATGAATAGGCTCAAAATTCTTATACCGTTAGAAAGGTAATTTATCTGTGAGTAACATAGGCTTTATTTTTTCATTATTTTCAAATTTCACGTGGAGTTGCAGGCAAAAGCTAGAGTATTATAAAATTATTACGCTTCGTCTCGGGTGAGAGATTGTTATAAACGCGTCGCCAATTTGGTTTTTTTGTTTTTTCATCTAGTAAATGGTTGCAATTTTATGTCAATTACAATTAACGTTGACAGTATCTAAAAATCATCCAGAATAAAAAAAAACGAATATATTAATAATTCACAATTATGATAGGATTAGCTCTAATTATTAAGTAAATCTTTTAATAAAATTATAACCTAAAAATAATCGACCATCTCAATTGAAGCGTCCTATTTGCGTTTCTCCAAAATATTTCTGTCTATCATTTAGGCTACCCAATTAATGTGCGTATAAAAAAGCTTTTTTAATAAGCTAAAGGCCTAAATAAGTAAAGCGTAAATAAGTAAATGGATTGGGGAGTTTAATAAAAATAGCGCGTAGTAAATGGGTTGTCTATGATGGATTGAAATTGCGTGCGGGGCCCATTCCTAATGAAGCGTGGATTTTACTAATCGGGTTAAACGGAAATAGTAGTTTTACATTTAGTTCTGTGTTAAATGTTTCGATTAATAAATCGCTTTATTTCTTTTATGTAAACCTTCTGAATAACCTAATAAATATATTCTATAAACTAAAATTTGTAGTAAAACTCACAAATATTATAAATGCGAATTTAGATGGATGGATGGATGTTTGTTTGAGTTTGTAGCCTAAACGGCTGAAAGGATTTCGGTGAAATTTGGTACAGATGTAGAGAATAGTCTGGAAGAACACATAGGCTACTCATTTTTGTTTCCTTTTTAATTCCACGCGGACGGAGTCGCGGGCGAAAGCTAGTATAAAATAAGTACAACTTAAACGAAATTGAGTAAAGAGTTATCAGATCCTTGTAAGCTATTTTCAAAAGTATTTATAACCTATACGAAAACAATGAAAACTAAAGTAAGAATTTTATTTACGGTTGGGTTAGGTTAGTTCGATTTCTCCACCGCGCCCCCCAGGTCGGGGGTGCGGGCAGCGTCTG